TATGAGGAGAGGAGAGAGGAGAACCCCACCCTGGGACATTAACATACGACCCACAGGTTTGTTGTCACCTCATATCAACATAACAAGAAGTTAAGCCTGTGAAAGAACTATGAATTTCCCAGAGAAACAGTTAAAAACAGAGTTGATTTGTAAAACTTTAGAAAAGTTGGGGAGAAGAGAATTTATGACCCAACCACAAGCTTCCACTCAAAACCCTTAAAGGGTTGGAGAACAGTCACTGAGGGTCCAGGCATGGCCGGCAGGAGAGAGAAGGGTGGTTCACCTGCTCATGAACACTCCCAGTGTGCACCCCACTAGGCGTCCTGCACCCCTCCGAGCTCATCCACCCGACTTCTACAAATGGTCGAGAGATTTAGAGCTTCCCCACGAGCGAAGGAGCCGTGGGGGCAAAGGCAGACAGGGAACATTCCACATTTCATTGTCCAGTACTAACTGAGGGCCTGCTACGTGCAGACCACCAGGTTCTGGGGTTCAAAGATAAAGAAGATCTCGTCCTTGCCTGTGAGAAGTTAAAAGTGCAGGGAGTCAAGAGCCACTGTCTGCCTTCAGTCCTTCCATCCTGTAGGTTCTCTCACTAATGGTCCCCATGACAACAAGCGCTCTGACCCTGAGGAACCGTGGACTCGGGGTCAAGCTCCTCTCTGGGCCACTGGGTCCTTAAGTTTCCCTCTCTCTGGGTTCCTGACCCTTCTTGTCTGGTCCCTGCTGTCTGGTCCCAGACAGCCTCGCTGGATCCCAAACTCCCAGCCTCTGCTCATCTCTGAGGCCTGACCCACTTCCTAGCCCAGCCCTCCCTCTTCTAAACCTGTTCCTTGCCCCAATATCCTCTGTTGGCCCCCAATAATCTAGTCCTGACTGTGGACTGGAAGATGCCTGCAGGTGGGCCCTTTAAGTCTGGCGTTGATAGAAAGGCACCTCGAGGCAACCGACATAGGCAAAGGCCGTGAAAGTAAATTATCCACGGAAATTACAGATAGTTGCACCATAATTTCAAGTAATACTGTACCCCACTGTTTCTCTGTGTCAGTATAGACAAAATTTAAGGCATCAGAGTCTGCCTTTTGCATTCTTATCTCCTGGAAGTGATCCAACATAGAGATGAAGGGAAGAGTTCTGAGTTTCTAATTCCAGATCAGCTATGTCCCTGCTGTGTGACCAGGAATGAGTTACTGCACATCTCTGAGTCTAAATCTCCTCATCTGTAAAGCCACATTAGGAATAATACTACCTTGTAGGTTTGTCGTGAGGACTATATCAGATAATATACATTAAAGGTCTTGGGCATAGTACTTGGCAGAGTAAGTGTTCAATAAATGTTAGGATAGAATAACACGGCTGCATGTTAAATAATTCAAGGAGTCTAAAGTATTCACATTATAAATTCTTATTGCTTGTTTTCTATCCTGAAATTTTCAAGGATAAAATATCTAACTATAAAGAACCAGCTTCCACATCTGATTACTCAATCCCCAGTTCCTCTAAGGTCAAGCTTCTCACTTTTTGATGTTGTTCACCTCCTGCCACTTGCAATTTTACTTGGATTTTCTTTTTACTATAGACTTAAAGCAAATACATAAATTAAAAATTTTTAAGGTAGAAATAGGTGTATGATGAAAAGCAAACCTTTCCCTCCCACCAATTCTTCTATTCCTACTCTTTTTTTCCAGAGATAATCACCATCTTTATCAATTCTTACAAATCTTTCAAGCTTCTGAAAATATTTTTTCACACAAATGAGATCACACCATAACACTGCCCTGCACCTTGCTTTTCCGTGTAACACAGTAACATGTCATGTAACATAACACGCATATCTACTGCATCATTTTTCGTGGCTGCAGAGCAGCCCTTTCCTTAGATATAACGTGTTTTATTTAAGGAGTTCACCGATTGATGGGCATTTACTTGTGATTCCTGTCTCTACAACAATGTTTTATACACTTTTGCACATATACCTTTTCAACTTTGGCAAGAATATGGGTAGGACAAATTTCTAGAAATTCTACTGTTAAGTCAAAGGATGCATTTTTAATTTGAATAGATATTGCTGCCAAACTACCCCTCCCGATGAGGTGGAACCAGATTGCACTCGGCTCTCTCAACAGCTCATGGGAGTATCCACTTTCCTGCCACCTCCCACCACATGGATTACCCAAGTTTTAAACTGCACTTCCCTGAGGTAGTAAAAATACTAACTCTTTGTTGTTTTAACGTTCATTTTTTAAACCATGAGTGAAATTGAGCATTTTCATGTACTTATTAGCCACCTGTATTTTTATGAGCTACCTGTCAAAATATTTGCCCATTTTTCTATTATTTTTCTATGAATTTGTAAGTGTTCTTTTTATAGTAAAGTAATTAACCCATTGCTTGCCATATGTTATGCAGCATTACAATTTAAAGAGAAACTATGTGTCACTAATTACACATTCATGTTGATATATCACTTACATAATTGTTCCACCTATATAGCCTAGAAGAGAAAAATAAAACAGAAAATTAATGCTGATTTTATAGTTATAGTAAATGTCACTCTAGCATTTATTATTGTACTTAATAAATTGTGACGTTAACCAATGAATCATTTACTGTATTTATCCATTTATAGGAGTGACCCACAGACACATTTAATAATCATATCTCAGCCTTTATATCACTTTTCTAAAATTGACTGTACTAGGAATCAGGCCACATGTGCCTGGCCTGTAGACCTGGGCATTGGAGCTTACTTCTTTTGATACACCACTTACAATTATTACATGGTAGGTATTTAGAATCATCAAGATATTTGATTAAATGATTCTAGAAGAAATCAGTGCTGACCAAAAAGAGCTGATAGTAGATGAATGAAGCAAGATGATCACACACTCCTTTGTAAATTCTGGTGGATGACAAATGCTAACACTAGAAAAAAATTACTATTGTCTGATTCTGCAAAATCCCATTTTCCAGTAAATAATGCCCCTATTAGACTGTGAGTTTCAGATGGATAGAAACTGTATCTTAAGCTTCTTTTTTTAAATTTTATTGTGGTAAGATGAGATCTAGCCTCTCAACAAATTTTTAAGTGAACACGACATTATTGTTGACCATAGGCACAATGTTGTACAGCAGGTCCCTATAGAGCTTGTTCATCTTGCTTGACTGAAACTTACACCTGTTGATTAGTAACTCCCCATTTTCCCTCTCCCAGCCCCTGGCAACCACCATTCCACTCTGATTCTATGAATTTGACTATTTTAGATACCTCATAAGTGGAATCATGTAGTGTTTGTCTTTCTGTGCCTGGCTTTTTAAAACTGGCATACTGTCCTCAAAGTTCATCCACATTGTCGCATATTGAAGTATTTCTTTCTTTTTTAAGGACACTGTATTCCATTGTATGTATATACCACATTTTTTTAATCCATTCATCTGTTGGTAGACATTTAGGTTGTTTCCACATCTTGGCTTTTGTGAATAGTGCTGCAATGAACACTGGAGTACTAGTATTTCTCCCAGATCCTGATTTTAATTCTTTTGGATAAATACCCATAAATGGGATTGCTGGATCATATGGTGGTTCTATTTTTAATTTTTTGAGGAACCTCCATATCATTTTCCATAATGGTTGCAAAATTTTGCATCCCCATCAATGGTGTGCAAGGATTCCAATTTTGTCACATCCTCATCAACACTTGTTGTCTTTTGTTTCTGTTTTTGTTTTTTTGATAATAGCCATTCTGGCAGGTGTGAGGTGATATCCAATTGTGGTTTTGATTTGCATTTCCCTGATGATTAGTGACATTGGGCACCTTTTCATGTACCTGTTGGTCATTTGTATTTCTTCTTTGGAGAAATGTCTATTTGATTTCTTAGCCCATTTTTTAAATTGGGTTATTAGTTTTTTTTCTGTTGAGTTGTAAGAGTTCCTTATATATTTTGGAGATTAACCTCGTAACAGATATACGATTTGCAAATATTTTCTCTCATTCTGTAAGTTGCCTTTTCATTTAGTTAATGTTTCCTTTGTTGTGCAGAAGCTTTTTAGTTCAAGGTAGTCCCACTGGTTTATTTTTTGTTTTGTTGCCTGATAAGCTTCTTTACATGCCCCATAATTAACAATTTCCATAAATATTTGCTGACTACGAAATTAACAGACATTTGTAACTATCTTGAGTGTTACATAGGGGTTATTAACACCACACACTGGTCTTAAACATAATCAGTAATTTCAGGATAAATACAATTATTCCCCATGTCTAACTATGTCTGCTATGTCCCTGATTCATCATTCTTTCTCATACACATACCTTATTCTTATAATCTTATATTTTATTTAATCCATTCAATTCTTAAGAGAGTTTCTTGATCTACTATTTCTAATTATATAAATGTATTTAGTATTTACGATACTATTTGTCTCCTACAGCAGTATATTTTGGAGAAACAAATATAGATAGAGGGAAAACAATAGACCAAAAAATGTTAAAAGTAAAGGTCAACATTATCCAGCAATAACCACATGCTCTCATGTCCTGGAGCTCCAGGGTGCCTTAATCATGATGAAATGGTTCCTATGACTTAATGCTATTAATGAAGTTAATGGATCTGGCTTAAAAATGGATAAAGTGGTTTTAAAGGTATTATGCTAAGTGAAGTAAGTCAGAGGGAGAAGGTCAAATACCGTATGATCTCACTCATAAATAGAAGATAAAAACAACAACAAACAAACACATGGAGACAGAGATTGGCTTGGGGGTTACCAGAGGGGAAGGGGGGAGGGAGGAGGGCAAAAGGGATGATTAGGCACAAGTGTGTGGTGATGGGTTGTAATTAGTCTTTGGGTGGTGAACATGATGTAATCTATGCAGAAATAGAAGCATAAGGATGTACACCTGGAATTTATACAATGTTATAAACCAATGTGACAGCAATAAAATAAAAAAAAAAATTAAAAATTAAAAAAAAAGAAATGTTTAAAAAAAAAGGTCATCTGCTCACAAAAGTGAAGACAGTGGTGATTCTTCTGCCCTTAAGTTTCTCTTGCCCCACATATGTTTCGATTTGTGATAAGAGCGTGACTTGGAAGACTGTGCGGATCCGGGACTCTGAGAGTGGGGAGATGCCCTCCGCAGGAGGTTCCGGGAAATGACCCTCTGAAGATTCTTCACGGAAGACGCTGCAGCCATAGTGGTCACCCAGGGATGACCCAGGGCCTGCCCAGCTGACATGCGATGACCAGCCTCCAGAATCAGTAGTTTGTCTATAAAGTCCTTCGCCAAGTGGGAAATATTTGGCCAGGGCTGAGGAGAAAAGTAAATAAAATAGAATAAAATAAACATAAACACACATGCACATAGAGAATCATGTTCTTAATTATATGGGTCAATGCATATCAAATCTAAAAGACTTTTTTTTCAAGTAAGTAATTTGAATACTATGTCATTAAATACATGGTGAACCTAAAAATCCACTTTAGACAGAGGCAAAATATTCTCTCTGGCAAAAATGAAAAAACAAACACAGAAATTCTCTTCCATACTCTGTCCACTGAATGAGAGTTCCTTTCCAGAAACCCCGTCCAGTGTGCTGCCATTAGCAATGCCAGTCCCCACGTCATGTTTACATGAGCTGGACGAGGCACAGAGGCTGCTGTTGGTGAACTACACCAATAACAGGTTAGTACTGACCACATTCTGGTCATCTCACAGAGTCCCTGGGACTCTAAGAATGAGCTAGAGTGGAAAGTGGAACCGACTGAGGAATCATCAACTTTTCTCTCCTTTGAAAGCTTACTCTGGGTCAGGATGTCTCTATCTCCACAGTCTGGAGAGAGAAGGGGAGGAACGGTAAGGTCACTTCAGCAAAGGGTCCTCCTACGGTGCATTTCCTCCAAACACACGGGACCTTCCTTCTTCCCAACCAGTCGACCACAAGTGGGATAGCAGAGATATGACACAGTGCAATACGTGCAACTAGCTATTTGGTGTTTCAGGGATCTAGCAATATTCCAGCAATATTTAAGCTTTTGCACATACTTTGAGAACACCAGCAGCAATTCATAGTGACTTTGGCAGGATGAGAACAAGAGGGCTGTTACTTTACACTCAAACTTGTTTTCTGCATTACTCACCAACGCACAGCATATATTTAGAAAAAAACTATATATTTTTTTGATCCCTCATCATCTACAAAGGAGAAACATTGCCCCCTGCATTTGCTGTATCTCAAACAGCCGTTTCTGGTTGATGTGTCTTTTTAAAATTATACCTCTCAAGAAAGACAAGGGAATTCTTACAACCTACTGTCTTTGTCCTTGTGTAAGGAAAACTCAGACTCCATCCATACACATCACACTCTCCAATCTCTTAGCACTCGATTAACTCAGAATTTGAATCAAAAGAAATCAGTAAAGGAATTTCTCTTCTTTTTTTCCTTCAGTGTATTTAGGTAAATGAGATATGAGAAATATTTACCCCTAAAATAAAATACATGAAATAAATGAATGCATTTGCCAAACACAGGGGAAATAAAATGTGAATCTGCAAGTCTAGACAAAGCACGTCCGTGGCTGACACTCACGATGGCATGTCCTCTGATTCTGGCCAGACATCTATTTGATCCTGGAACCAGACACATTTATCTGGGCTCAAGACTACTGAAGTGAAGGTTAAATTAGATGCTCCAATGGAACATAATAAGACAAGCAATTTAATTTTTCTGGAAATAATATAAAATACATGCAGTGAGACTTATAGTGAGCTCACTGCGATGACCCCAAAAGAATATGCATTTAAAACACAGTTGCAAAAAACAAAGTAACTGGTATCCTGGAAAAAAAATACTTCAGCCAAAGCTCATTATTCAAACATAGATTATAAATTACAGAATTCCTGAGCCATAAGGAACAACTGGAGAGTATCAAGGAGTCTATTTCATGTTACACATCAGAAAATGACAGAAATAGGGAAAAAATCAGAACTATTTTATTTTTATCTTCTTAATCTCAAATTAATTTCTATGTTTTATGAAGTATAAAAGAGATTAATACATGTACATGTATATATTCTATAAATGAATAAAAACTGAGTGTGCACGCTCAAAATTTTTTGAGTAATAGTGTTATGTGACAGAAACAACTTGGAGACCACATGTTGAATCAAATTCCTACTCTGGACCAGCTGTCACCTGGTGACATCATTCAGTCCCTTTACCGGATGTCACATCCGCTTTATGTTCAATGACGCTTTCCTCATAATCTCTCATCTTAGATTTCGCCATCCTCACTCTTTGCCTTAAAAAGTCCCCTGATTGGCCTTTGTCAGCATTTCAGGGAGACAGCCAGCCTGTTAACCCGTTTTAATGTGGAAAAAACTTGAGATTGAAGTAAGTGGGTCTGGACTAGACAGACTGTCTGGCCCCACTCAGCGCTAAACCTCAGGGTCTCAGTTTTCTCATCAGAAAAATGGGGACCATCATATCTCTTTCACAAGATTGTTATTAGGACTAAACTAGACCAAGTATGTGAAAAATGCTTTTCAAAGTCTGAAATATTATGTAGATTTTTGTTGTTCTTGTTCTTGTAACTATTAAATCACAATTTAATTCCCTCCTCGGTTCTTTTGTGGACACATTTATCAACTATATTTAGAGAACTGGAAGATAAAAATTATCTAAAACTTCACAGACCAACTCCACTTACTAATATCATGATAAACCCTCAAAAAAAAACTTTTGTGTTAAGAGATAATGAACCCCGTAAAAAGAAAGGTAGCATTTTCTTTTATCCCAAAGTCACTCAATTAATTTAGTTACAAGTAACTTGTAATATTTGTGGACATTTCTTTTTCTTTCTTCTTTCTTCCTTTCCTCACCTGATTCTTTGCCTATTTCCCTGTCCTCTCCAATAAAAATTGGCTAAACTTTTTAAAACAACAATAATCAAAAAAAAGTATGAAACAAATTTAATACTAGCAATTGCACTACTTATTTACTTGTAAGGAATAGAGCGAATCTAGAGGGATAATATCTTATCTTCTACAGCTGGCTTGACTCTTTCACCTTTAAACCAAGAAGTGAGGAATGATTGTAGTTTATTGCTTTCTCATTTCTTGGTGAACAGTTTTCTCCTAATGTATACCCAAGTGCAGGCCCTCTAAAAGAGTCTGGTTCTCTGGAGCCTGCTTATTCTCCAGCAAAGTCCTCTAGCTTCCTCTCAGCCTGGTGCTCCCTGGCCATCTCTGCAGTGTTCCCTACACTGGCTCTGTTCTCCACTCCATCCTTTCCCACCTCTTCCTTGTTCTGGCAACCAGGCCCTACTTCCTTCTCTGATTTTCTGCATCAGCTCCCAAATTAAATTCTCTGCTCAGGGTTCTAGGGATTGCTCATGGCCTCGTATCCTACAGTCTCCTTCACTCTCCTTCTCACTCTGAGCCCCAGGAGTCCCCATGGAGATTCCCGGCAGCCCCTCCAAGAGACAACAGAGTCCTACATTCAAGACCCACATTCTCATTCTCTTCTTTTATGAACGCCAATTAATAGAGCCAATGTAATAGCTTGTGCAGAAGATAAATAAATATACAGAAACTAAGTAACTAGTTTAAAGAATGAATAGTATCCCCATGACTAGACAAAGCTTTCATATTTCTTGGCTCCTTTGCAGAAACACCCACAGAGAATCATTAGTAAAAATCATTATTAAAAAGCTAGATACTACAAACATACACACAACATATAAGCAGTCCCTAAAATTCTAGATGCACATCTTAAATTTTAAGGATTGTAATTAATGTTGAAATTTGCTAACTATCGAGCTTACTCAAGTATAGGGTAATTATCAGTGGATTTAACGATCGAGTTTTCAGAAAACTAGAAATATCTTTTTTTTTTTTCTTTTTTGGTGAGGAAGATTAGCCCTGAGCTAATGCCTGTTGCCAATCCTCCTCTTTTTGCTGAGGAAGGTTGGCCCTGGGCTAACATTCATGCCCATCTTCCTCTACTTTACATGTGTGAACCCTGCCACAGCATAGCTTGATAAGCAGTGCGTAGGTCTGTTCCCAGGATCCAAACCTGTGAACCCCGGGCCGCAGAAGCAGAGTGCATGAAATTTAACCACTATGCCACCAGGCCGGCCCCCAGAAATACCTATTTTTTTAAGTAGGTGGATAAGCTATCATTCAAATACTTGTGCTAAGAGCACTCAAAGTAGCATTTAAACCCTCAAAAATAGTAATTTTTATTAAAAATTTATACTGGTGACAATCCTCTGGCTAGCATTTCCCTTCCTTCTTTGAACTTTAGTGTGTGGCCTTGGAAGGATTTTGCTTAAGCTTTGCAATTAAATTTTATGTAAATACGCCCAAAAGTACTGATTAACTCCCCATGACTTCATTAGTTGTAGACTGTGTAAAATCATTCTTCCTCATCTCAGGAAATAAGAGATTTTGTACACCATCTTTATGTCATAGATATTTAAAATGTTTGCTACCCAATCTACAAAGCAGACTCTAAACTGTGTTTTATCTTTGCCAAAGCAAACTGCTCAAAGACGAAATTTTGACTAATTATGTCGGAATGCCTTATCTATTGGAGCATTTGTAAACCCTGGAAAAAGTGAATAGATATTCACAAATTTATTACAGGTGACATCTAATAAAAAATGAATAAAGAGCCAATTAATTCCACCCCAGGCTCCTAAAGAAGACATTTTTGTGAGTTAAGAGGTTCTTGACATGAGGCAAGCAATGCTTCCAGCTCTTCACTCACAAGGAAAACTCTGAAATTTAAAGAGGATTGGGTGAAGCTTAATTTTTTGAGCACCTACCATGTTTCAAAGCACTGAAGGTTAAAAAGAGAAGTGCTCCATTTCCCTCAAAAAAAGAGGAACATAAGAAGAGTAACAAAAAATTGAATTAGCCTTTGAACCCTGAATCAATGGTTGACCCATTCTTCCACAAAAATCTACATTTAGAACTAGTTCCTACATTATAAACCTCACAAACCATAACATAAACAATACAAGCATCATATTAAATCCAGATATTTCTAGGTCTGTAAAAACTTTATTCAAACAGTTCTTTTCTCCTCAACTCCATGAATCCTGTTGATGATATTAAGACCAAGAAACGCAGCATAATGAAGGAAGCAGATAGCTACTTTCCACTCTAATCACCAATCCTTACACTAAGGTTAACAACTACACGGTCAAAACGAAATGCACCGCCGTTTCAATTCCCAGGAACGCTGTGATTGAGTTTGAGAAGAAAACATATATTCGTTCAATTTAAGGTGAATCAGAGCAGAG